ATTGACAAGTTGCACAACATCGGGAATCCATGGGAACCGCTCGGGCTGCCCAGTGGACGGGTTCCTTCAAGATTGCAGATGTAAGACACGGCTTCTTGAACTCTAAGGTTGGAGAAATATGAAGGTCCCGCTCTGCTGATTCTAGCACCTGATACGCCTGAGCTGCTTGCCATGCAAGGGCTGCACATTTGTTGCATTGTACTGTATTGATTATTGTACTTTTCAGAGGCAAACGGAAGGGTAGTGCACAGAAAGGGTTTTGCAAAAACCTGTTCTACTAACATCGTGGAAGGCGCGGGACATTCGTAGAACCCAAGGCTATTCGTGGACAGTTCGTGGAATGGTGGGCCAGTAGGAGAACTGACTGCAACGAAATCCCAGAAACTTTCGCAGAACTTCGTGGAAGGTATTTTTGATGCACTAACTTCGTATAAGCGATTTTTGCTGACCCCCTTTCTCCACACCCTCCATTTAGCCTTCAACTTTGGGTAAAGGAGCGGCAAAGCCAACAGCTCTCCACTATCAGAAGATATGCTATTGACAAGTGACAGGTTTGTTATGCTGCCCTTTGCATGTACCTTGGCATGCTCAGGTTTCATAGTGCAGCTGAGATCAATGCTCAATATTGCACTCAAATGGAGGCCCTTGAGATATCTGGGGTTTGAGTCTAAGTCATGAAGAAGACATGCCGTCAGCCATGACAAACGAAGACGTTCCGTGGTCATCCAACGTTCCGTTCATCATCACCGACGAAGCACGGTCGCATTAGGAGACTGATTTCACCCTCCTGCGATGTGCAAACCATGACGGATGTTTAGGAAAGCCTCGCAAAAGCGCCGGCTCCAACCTAGAAGCCTTTGTTACTAGTAGCTTATAGTAGCTTCTTGTTACTAGAGTAATGGCCTCCAACCTACTAGCGATGGCCTCCAACCTAATAGCGAAAAGGGTGCTCGAGAACCCTTTTCCAATTATTTGAAGTTTGTTGTTTCCAAGTGCTTTGCAGTGCGAAAGGTGGTCAACGGTAAAGGCAGCCACTACAACATGATGCAGGCGGGTAATGCCATTAGTTTTGATCCTGTAATGCATGGTGTCATGGATGACTTGTGATGTGCAGCGGTTGAAAAGAGTCTAAATTTGCTGGTCAGTAACCTGTTCAGGGTGAGCAAGCGGCCACACAGGCAGCACTTGTACTTGAGTTTGCCAAGAGGCTGGAGCTTTCACAAGCGAACTCAGGTTGCTTTTAAGCATTGTGTTCGCCCACATTCCTCAGGTTGGGGGGGAGTGGCCGACGACATATCTTCCGCAGGAGCTTGCTGAGCTTTGTTGTGACTTCTCTTGCACCCTGAATATCCGCGATTGCCGGACCACATGAACTAATGGATACTAATGGCTTACATTAACGGTTTCTTTCTTTTTGTCTTTTTTCCTTTCGTTCTTTCTTTCTTCCTCGAATATGGTCTTTGTATGTCTTTGTACCGCTTGATACTAGAGATCGGATGCCTGGAAAGAGAATACCCGTGTGAGCCGGAGAGCAAGACATCAAGTGCTTCGTCCATGGTTTTTCAGTTCATCATGCTGGCTTCGAGTCCATGGGTGCAAGATGGTGCAAGGACTCGAGGCTGCAAAAAGCCAGAAGATGCTGATTCTGAGGCCCACCGTCCACATCCGTCCGCCGTGAAGCGACGTTTCAAACCAAAAGAAACACCGGACGGGAGAGATCCCATGAGATCCCCACACTTTGCTCTACGAACGTAACAAGAAGCTACGAACGGAACAAAGGGCATTTTTCCATGGGAGACGCCTGGGTTTTGTGTCTCCCTATCTTACTTGCCTTAGCTTAGCGGACTGCTGAAGAAGCGCATCAAATCCTACCAATTGCCAATAGCTATGAAAAATTGCAACCTTGGATTGTGAAGCTGTTGCTTAACGTCTTTTGGAGGCCTGGCAAAGCGGAGAGCTCCAAGGTCTACTTGATACATGGTTTGTGACTCAGGATTCCTCAGGATTCCACGAATGCTCTCGACCAGAACTGAGCAGCTTCTTTTTGATCTTTCGAAGGCCTTGACGGAGATGCTCTTAGCGGCGGTAGCACCTTCACGAGCATTGCGCAACGCCTGGCTCCATGCAGGCGGCAAATTAAGGATGGGGAACTGAAGGCACCTTGACTTCTCCTGCTCATGTAGAAATCCAGTTCCACAGCTGCTGTTCCTTCGTCTCAAGCCTTGCTGCCCGGGACTTGTCTCAATTTTTCCGGCGTGGAGCAAGTCAGGGTCAGAGGGTGTGTTGATGACCTCATCGTCGTTTCTGCGCCAGGGTGGGTGCTTTGGTGTACGATCAAGAGGACCTCAACCGGGAGAGACTGGCAACTCCCATCAAGACATCAAGACAAGCTTTGCGACGGAGTTGTAAATCAGTGTGAGATGATGTGCACAATACTGTGGAGATGTGTAACACCTTGTTCTTGAGACCAGCAACACTGTGGAGATGTGTGGAGAGGTGTTGCACACGGTGCGCGTGCTGGTGCGTGTCACAGAAGGCCCTGGAGTGCAATTCCATCCCGGATCTTGCTGCTTGCTACAACCGCCGGGCCGGAAGACCCAGATCCCGGGTTGAACGGAGACCGAAACCAGACATGTCAATCTACAGAGACAGAGGATGCGGCTGCACGGCTTAGTCAAACCGATTAGAAGGAATGAAGAAGGGAAAGGGCACAAAGTGAGAAGCTTCTGGTTAGTGCCCCCCCTTTCACGTGCTTTTGAGTGACGCTCATTTCAAGGGGTCTGAGCGACAAGTCTGGAATCTCCACATTATTGTAGTCAGTGTTATATATACTGTATATACATAGGAAACAAACACCTTAAGGGCCTCTTTGTCATGACAAGGCCCTCTTGAAGGGGCCATATTGTTAAAGAGGCCCTTAACATCCCTTAGCCTTAGCCTTAACATCATTTAGCTGGCTCTGGAAGGCCAAGCCTGCAAGTTTGATCAATTTTGAGATATGTTGAGTGTGTCGGCTATCAGGTCCTTGAAGATGTCAAGAGCAGCGGTGATGCCTTGGCCTTGGTGAAAGAGATTCCAATGTTTCATTCACTCTTCGGCGCTAGGCCGCTAAGCAATCACTGGGGTGGGGATGTGTCGGGATGTGTCGGGATGTGTCCAACCAGGGCAAAGAATTCACAAGAAATGTGTCCATCCAGTTTCGAAAGACTGGAGAACACAGTGATTTACACATTTCCTTTCACAGGCAGATGTGAAACCAAGGCCGGTGAGAGCCTGATAGTCATTGCAGGCACTGCACGACTTTATGCCGTTTGTATGCATCCTGCCAATTGAAACGGAATATGTCCCATGGGATTTGCTGTCAATAATGCGAAGGTTGTTTGCTTGGTTCTTGCAGGCTACTCTCATGGTTGTGTACTTGCTCATCAGATGGGGCATCAGCTGTACAAGGAGAGGAAGGGAAAGGATAGGCAAAATGATCCAAACCATTCGCCGTAGCAGCTCAGTCCATTGGGCAGCTCAGTGAATTGGGATCGCGCCTGCCTGTGGAGGCCGGCGTCCGGACGGCTGTGGTGATGTTCGACCTGGAGGTGACTTGGCCACCACCTAGCACCCACTCACGCGTGGGCGGCTACGAGTTCTTGGGCGGAGAGGCCGAGGCGCCAGCGGAAACGAGTTCTTGGCCGAAGAAGTTGCCAACTGGAAACCATCAGCTGATTGAGAGACAACCGACGGATCTTGACTAGAGTGTTCAAGGTCAGCTACAATTACAATTATACTTAATTAATTATAGCTGACTATCCACATTGTCATTGTGTGTGCCCTAGAAACAAGTGCAAATACTCAAACCTATGTGGATGGCAGGGGCTCTTTGATGGTAGGCTGATATTCAGAATTGCCTGTGTGTAAAATCGTGACACGGATGTTGATGCTTTCTTAGGTGTTGGCATGTGATTAATACTTGTGAGGTTCCCCAAAGCCTCCCCTACTGAATAGAGAGGGCGTGAACATGTGCTTGTCGCCAGGCCGTCTTGCTGATTTCGCGTGCTTTTGGCAAATTTGATTTTGCAATCAAGGAACCGCAGAGTGGCATGTTTGCACTTTTTTTCTTCTAGGGACCTACGAAGACGTAAGCCATTCTCTCTAGTTCGGACCATCAAAATGAGACGTCCAGAGTCCAGAGCAAAAACAGAAGGGACGGGTCCGATGCTTTGCGAAATGGGTGTTTCACGCTGAACTCGATATCGGGGGGCGAAGGAGTCCCCGCGAAGTCGCTGGCAGATCCCCGCGAAGTTGACCAAGTCTTTCAATTGGGGTAGATGGATCTCGAGTCCGCACGGAATTCCCCCTGACTGCCACTGGCTTTAGTGTTGGTGAGAGAGAACAGTCGGCCCCTAAATCCAGGGTCCCTGGCTTTCCAAATTCTGTTGCTTGCTGTTGTTGTCCGCAGACGGCATGAAGAGTTCCAAAATGCGAACAAGATTTCTCGTGCTTATGCAACATGACTGATGGCAAATACTTGGCATAGCCACGTATAGACTATGCTGTATTATGCGGTACCGTTTGAATCCAGTTGAATCCATTTAATACATCCGAAATTATTCAACACATCCAGACATCCGTCGTCGCACCATCGCCCGTTGGAACTTCCCGATGAGGAGGCGATCGAGCTCACCAAGATGAAAGCTCAGGGTCAAAGCGGTGGGCTGAGAACGGTGATCAGAGAGCAGTGCATTGCGCCAATCTATGTAGAACCTAGAATTGTGTTTCCGAACTCTTGACGGTGTCGAGGCATTGATGTGGATGCCTTGATAGAGAGAGCCTATGTCGCGTTGGGCCAACGCGGGCTGTGATCCAGACGTCTTTGAAGGGCGGAGAGGAGCTACTGTAGGGGTTAAGATGGGTTAAGGATAGTTAAGGGTTTCTTTGACTTTGGCTACAGTAATCAACAATTATATCACACGCACTTTCACACGCATTAATTTAAACTTGCTTATAAACTCTTTATTGTTCTATATTGTCTTTATTGCGGAGAGCAACGACGCACTCCCTGTTCTTGAAAAAAGATGACATCTTTTCCGGTGTCGTCGAATTGCGTCTATGGTCAGCCATGATCAGGCTGTGGCGTAGCGAAACGCAGAAGTCCTCCTTTGGCTTTCCTTTTTGAATCAACAGCCGCGTGATCTGCTTCGCGCGGACGCAACGAAAGAAGTGGGCTTGAGCCCAACGGCAAGAAGTTGGTTCGTAGGTTTGTATCATGAGCCCAAAGGCCGATTGCTCAGCATGACTGAGACAAAACATGGGCTGAATCTATTAGGGACCAGAGAGAGGTCGTGATTAGGGACCAGAAGATGATGGTGATCTCTGCTGCCGGACTTGCCAGGTCTATGGATCTCTTGAAGATGATGGTGATTCGCCTGAGTTTTATGAAAAAAACAGTCTCACACGCATCATCTCTCATTTCTTGCGCAAGGTTGTGTTTGAAGAGAGATCTCAGTCAGAAGCTTTCCATGTTGCGACGTGTTGTGCAAGTCTTTGACTATTTATATATTTTATATTATATACATGTACGGAACCATTGAATCATTGGCTGAAGGGTGGAAGGCCTTCTGCTCACGAATTGGCACCACAAGGTGAAGCGAGGCGGTGTCAATATTGAGAAGCTGAACAACATTGGGAATCCATGGGAACCGCTCGGGCGGCCCAGTCCCTCATGGTGCGCAGGCAGCTGAAGTCTAGCATTTGTGATCATTTGTGTGATTGTAAGTGCATTTTTTTTGTGTTCAACACCAGGAAAGCTCTTGTTCAACGCCTGGAGCTTGGCAAGCGCCCCTCCAAGGTTGGAGAAGTATGAAGGTCCTGCTCTGCTGATTTTGGCACCTGACACACCTGAGCGTCTTGCCATGGAAACCGGTAGAAACTTGTGTAAGCGTGGGAACCGGGAAAAGACAATTTGGGTTGTTTTGCCGTGAGAAGATTTGAGCACTTGTGAGTGACGACTGACGCGATTTTGTTCATGCTGCAATTTGCTGATTGGTTTGCCAAGGTTCCATAGTGCCGCTGAGATCAATGCTAGATATTGCACAAGAATGGAGGCGCTTTCTTGATGGAGTCTCTCACATTTGTATCGAAGCCGAACCTGAAGTTTGATAAGTATGTGGTATCAGGTTGACGTTGTATTGCAAAGAAGCGACAGATAGGGATGATTCTTCAGCATTCTTCAGAAACCTCTCCAACATGTGTTGAAGGGTGTATTTGGAACTTAGAGATGTGCCCCAACCAAGAGGAAGGTCATAGAAAACCGGACACAGTTAGTTTAAAGGTGTTTTTGTTTGTTTTTGCAGAGTTTTCTCATGCAAGGTGGTCACTGGAAAGGGAAGCCACTACAACATGATGCAGGCAGGCAGAAAGCCTGATGCGCAGAAAAGGATTGTTTTCGCACATTGAACGACCGTCCATTTTATTGATCCTCCTGGAGCTTTGCAGGGTGAGCAAGCAGCTGCACAAGCAGCCATCGTTCTCGAGTATGTGAAGAGGCCACAGTCAGAGAGGAAGTTTGCAAGGTTCCAGAGCATTTCGACAGAGAATCTTGGGCTTATGATCTAGTCGATCTAGTCAATGGCTGCTTTGCTACTAGAGTGGGTGGTCGAGCTTTCCAACACAGTATGACATGAAGACGAGTTTGTCGACCTGAAGAGGATCCTCATCATCCCTTGAACCTGTGGCAAACATTTACTGTAAGAGATTTTCAGAACATCCCCCTGCAATTGCATGTTTGGTGTTTCTTCGTTGTGAGGGCCTGTTGTCAAGTTGTTGCCGATGACAGGCTCTCAGAAGCTACCTTAGTTTGTCCTGCTGCAGAAGGCACAACCGGAAGACCTGTGTCTATCCAACGGCCCAAAGCTGCTTGCCATCCTACTATTATGAGCTCCGAGGAGTCCCTTGCATGCATTTGCATGCTTTTGACACTCTGCAATATTTATGACATGCATGGATAACAGTCGGAGGATGCACAGGGCAGCTTGCAATTCGAAGTTTGAAGCTTCTCCGGACTGGCAATGACTTTGAACCTAGACGGAAAAGGACAAACAATTTGTTTGCAGCATGATTGTAACCACGTGGCAACCCAAAATCCTGACTGGTTGCCGACCAGGCATCACTGTCCTTCGGGATTGTCCAGGCCCATGTATATACTTTCTGTCCGGGCTCCTGGCCTTGATTGAACTCTGAGGGAAGGAAAACGACAGGACAGAACATGGTAATTAATATATAATCGTATGTATAGTAATGACTAGCTTGCGTGGTTTGTGAAAGTGGAAGTGTTTAAGCCCCATGTATGTCCTTGACATTTTATCCTCAAGAGCTAGCCGGGTGCCCAGTCCTTTGATGGATCGTGGTGCCGTGAACTGGGCGGTGGTGATCAGTTCACACCTGGTTAGGACCTTGCTGGAGTGGTCCCAGAAGGATGACTGAAATTGCTGGGCTGCGCATTGAGGTATTCAGGGCCCGTGAGCTTGTTGGAGGGCTCAACCAAGTGTTGGAGGCCTGCGAGAGGTCAATCAGCTGGCTTAGGACAGTCAATCAGCTGGCATTAGGCTTGGTTTTGTGTATTGTGTTTTTTGGGTGGCGCTTCTTCTTGTTGCCCGCACTCAGAAGGCCTCAGTTAGTTGCAAGACAGAACAGGTGACACGGTGACCCCACCTGCCTTGCCAGCGGCCGACCTTGCAGTTGTTCCAATGTTCGGACAGGGCCTGGACGACCCTCCGATCGAATCAAGCAGCGTGAGGAGCGAGCTTGAGCATGGGTCGTACACTCAACATTCCCGATCCTCAGGTGTTGATTCATTACTCTGGTGATGCCAACGGTTACTTTCATCACCGCCGGCTCCTCCTGCACAAAATCGGAAGTGGCCACTGGTTGGCTTTGACACCTGACTTGGACCTTGAAGTCCAAGACTTGAGCTCCACACGTCATCGGGTTGGCCCGTCTAGAGCTGAACTCGACAGACAGAAGAGACTGGCTCGAACGATGGGTGCAATCCTTGACGACTCACAGGTTGTCAATGTTGATGAACAGCAGTGGTACGTTGTTGACCCGTCGATCCTTGCTTGAGACGGCGCGGCTGGGCTTTTCTCGGGATCAGTTGGACTTGAGCAACCTCATCAGTTGTTTGAGAACATTGTCCGGACTCATTATCCTTGAGATGGCCGTGGCGCGAAATCCTGCTGCCCCTGATTTCTTGGGCCTGGATGTGGTGAGTGAATCTCCAGTGACGGCTCAAGGCCAAGCTTATGTCTCGGCCGTCAACAGCTGGATTGCAGACAGGCTGAAGGAGCGATCACAGATCCAGAAGCAGGCCAGGCTTTATCGAGAGGAGTTCGGTGGCCGTGGCAAAGGAGGCAAGAAGTTTGACGCCGGCGAGGACTACCAGGATGGCGGCTCGTCCAAGTGGAAGAACAAGAAGAAGAAGAAAGCAGATGGCGCCGGCCAAGCAACCGGCTCTGCTCGCGATGCATAGTCTTCCATTGGTCGCTCCGTTGGTCTGTGTCCCTCAGGCTGAGCGGCTGACCCTTTGCTTAATTTTTCTGGAGACATCTGATGGCTCTCTGTCATCAGCGGAGAAGGCATGGTGATCCTTTCCCTCTTAATGGTCGACATCTTTTTGAGAGGGCAGCTGACTCCGCTTGTTTTGACCCACAGCGAGCTCAATGGATTGGCGAAGCGCTGAGCAAGCTCGCTCTGCAAGACAAGAATTCAATCGGTTCTCCGCATCTTGCTTCAGAACGTCAGCCTGGTTGAGTCCCTGCAACACGGGGCCAAAAGCCGGAGGGTGCTGCTCCGGACACTGCTCTTCGTGACGCGCAGGCCGCCGAGTTCTCCTATGATGGAACGCCGAACAACTTATATAGCCTCTTCTGACCTGGGAAAGTTGAAGGTTCTTCGGTCCCAGGTTCAGCCAAAGAGGATTACCAAGTTTTTGCAAGTTGAGCCAGCAAAGTTGGTGGAACACTATGAGTCGCGGCTTAACAGACCCTAGTTTTCCCCGTACTGGGACCCTGCCCTCAGGTTTGACAAGAAGAAGAGGCTTGACTTTATCATCCTGAGGCTGCATCGTGGGACACGTCCTTCATTGGAGCATTTTTTGCGAAGAAGAAAACTCCTGATGCTATCCGTATGGTGTTGGACTGCAGAGGGACAAACCGACTCCATTAACCCCCCTACTACTAGACTTGGATCGGCAAGGTGCTATGTGGCTCGTTTGACAGGCGATCAGGGATGCCTTTTACAACTTCTCGATCCCAGAACTGACCCATTACTTTGCGTTCAACCACCCACTTGATGCGGCTACGTGGGGTACCCTTGGGGTTTTTACTGGAGACCCTAATATGAGAAGGGAGGTCCGTGTTGATCCTGACGAGATTTTGTTTCGTTGTGTGGAGGCTGTTCTGATGGGTTGGTCACGGGCCCTTTATCTATGTAATGAAGCAGTTCTCAACATTTGCAAGCAGAATGCCCTTGGACAGACGGTGTTTTCCAGAACATCTTTGGGTGTTTATGTTGACAACATTACAATTGTTGGAGGTAGTTTTGAGGATGTGCAAGAAAGGGCCCAGCACGTTGCAGAATCGTTCAAGAAGGCTGACATACCACTCACCTGGTCACAGAACGTCCCTGTCAAGGCTCTTGAATCTGTTGGGTGTGTCCTGGACTTTGAGAAGAAAGTGCGGATCAACAAGCCTAAGAGAGTCTGGAAGTTCTTTTTGGCCACATTGGCCTTGCTGCGCCGCAAAAGTCTAAGGCAAGACTCTGCAGATATGGGCGGGGCACTACACCTCGCTTTGCGCCGTGTGGACTGAGTTGGTTGGAACACATATACCGGTTCATTGGTACCAGACGTAGAGGGTGCAAGTTTGGACTTCGGTTCGCAAGGAGCTCGAGCAGGAGCAGGCAGCTGCGCTGCTATGTTTGACATGAAGACATCTGGGCGCACCCCTTTGCAGGACTGTGGAGGTTGGAGACTCATCAACTGTGGGCTATGCACTCATGGCCTGCCGGCCACCTGAACGGCTGTTCAGGAGTGCCATGGCCACTCATGAGAAGTGGCGGTTCATTGCTATGCCAGAAGCCCTGAAGACAGCGGCGGTGCAACTTGCCGGAAGTCAGGGGGGTTGGAAGATGAGCAAAGATGCAGACCTGCTGGCTTGTCAACGCAATATGCCAAGATGATGAACTCGTTGCAAGAGGGGTCATGGTTGGGAACCTCCGCGATCAGATCACAGATTCGAGCGCAGCCTGCGAAGAGAGTTGATGTTGACATACCTTCATTGGTTGAACCGCTGGATGAGTTTTTTGCAGACAGACAGAACTTCAGACTTCTTTGGTCAAGACGTGGGCGTTACAGTGATGAGCATATCAACCTTAAAGAATGTCGGGTTGCATTGTCATCGTTGAAGCGTAGTTGTCGGGTCAGGGAACTGCGGCCCATCGCAAGCTAACTTTTTACATGGCAACTGTTTCAGCGCTTTCCAAAGGTCGTAGCGGATCATTTGCAATGAACAGACTTTGCAAGATTGCCGCTGCGTTCCAGTTATAGGGTGTGGGATGATCTGGCATTTGAGACATGTTGAGACAAAGCGGAACGTGGCAGATGAACCGTTGTGCAACTTCAATAGGGGAGAGAAAAGCCGCTTTGACAGCAGCCCGGTGGTCACTCCAGATCCCTGCAGTGGGCTCAGCGCTGAGCCTAGCCAATCGAGCAAGCAGGTAAGATTCGGAGAGGTCATCAAAAATCCAGTCCCCCACAGTTTGCTGGCGCAGGCAGACTTAGTCAGGCCTTCGCTAAGAGTGGAGCTCCGGTGCTGGAGCCTGTCGAGGTCTTCAACGACCCCGCTTTTGACCTTCGTAGGAGACAGACTCAATTACTAATCCTTAGATGGATCAAAAGTGGAACAATTGGCTTTGTGCACCTTGGGACTCCGTGTGCAATTTGGTTGCGGGCTAGACATGGGATGAAAAATACACTCAGAAATCTTGGACGGGAAGCGGTTGGTGTTGAACTTACCCTTTTTACACGTGAAGTGATTGTTGCGCGCAATCGGGCTGGGGTTCCGTGGGCCGTCGAGAACCCAAGATCATCACGCTTGTTCAATTTTGAGCCACTTGTGAGAGCAATATACAGGACCAGTTTTTTGAGGTAAACTTTCGGAGTTTTGAGTTGATCCAAGCACGTGGTAGATGGGCTGCTCCTTTGTCAGTCCAACGTTACCGCAAACCTGGTCGGCTCCTCATAACAGTGGCTACGCTCCCAGCTCCCTTCAGAGCCTACGATGAGGCCCACGCCATAAGGCTCTGTGGCACCTCTTTTTGCATTCATGGGCTGGCACCAGTTCCCTCCATAGCAATTGGGGGTGTGGGCGGTCGAGCGTGAGCCTTTGACGTGCACGTTCAATTGCTGAGTGTTCGTTGATGATGTACAGCGTTGAGTGGAAAAGGCGTTGGGTGGCATCTGGGCTGGGAAGATGGAACGGTCAGCAATGACTAGCTTGCGTGGTTTGTGCAAGTGGAAGTGTTTAAGCCCCATGTATGTCCCTGACATTTTATCCTCAAGAGCTACACACCACACCCATCCCATTCTTATGGATGGGGCAGTCGAGCATGAGCATTTGACGTGCACGCTCGATTGCTGAGTGTTCGTTGATGATGTACAACGTTGAGTGGAAAAGGCGTTGGGTGGCATCTGGGTTGGGAAGACGGAACGGTCAGCAATATATATATATATCTAATGTATTATATGTAGATATTTACTGTATATAGATATCACATATATTCTAATCACGAAAGGTAACTTGATCCTTGCTTTAGCAAAAAGATATTACAATCAGGAGTTGGGATTGTGCATTGAATTTGGTCCTGTAAGAGTTGATTCTGTTCGTCGGGGGGGGTCCCTGGATCAAATCCCCCCCGCCGTCATGGACTTCTACCAGGGTTGCTTGTGATTGCCTGCTACCTTTCGTTCACCCCCTCCTCTCTCAAGTATTCAACACCATTCGATCAGTCAAAATTCGTGTGTTCGGATTAGCCTGAGCCCCCCCCCAAAAAGGGTGAATGTCCAAGGCATGGCCTGGATGGAGATGCCCTGGGACCTGGGATGAACCTTGGATCGTTGCCGTCCTTGCTGTTCCTCAGTGGCATGTGGCGGCCGGTGGCAGAGTTGGGAGCCGACTCAATCAACATCAATAGCAAGGTGCTTGCATAGAAGTATAGAGCAGGTTAGGTGTCTGGTTGGGAAGTTGGACTGTTTGCCAAAGAACCCAGCTTAGAACAATAGATTGACTACTTGAGTCATGCCGACTCCAATAATGTCGAATCCACTTGGACCGCAGTGGCAGACTTCGTCAACCCGGCTGCGCCATGCTTGGTTTCCCTCAGGTCCGGCCGCATTTGCAGCATCGAGTATGATGATGAGGTGTGGACTTTCGTCTTTCTCGTAGAAGCAAGAGACAGTCTCCATTGTAGCAGTTGTGAGGCGGAGACAGCAAGAAACTACTAGTAACAAAGGGCATCGCTACTAGGAGCAACAAAGGGTGCAACTTCTTCAATCTTTTTTGTATTTGCCATTCTACCAGACTGAAAAGTGTTTTACTCGTTTGAAAGCCTTCACAGGCCTTTGCTTGTGAAACCATTGAAGCGTTGGCCAAGCTCTACAAAGAGCGCATCCTCCAGGCCGGGCGCTTTCTTTACCCAAAATCTTTAGCTTTCGATACACGTGATTTCCGAGGATGGGATGGCCATTGCACGTGATTTTGGTTTGTATCCAGTCGCATGTGCAATCCATTTGGTCTAGAGTCTATACCATTCAATAGCCTTTAAGCTTCCATAAGCTTCCCATATCGTCACTTCTTGACACACTCCGACACACTCCTTGTGTTCAACAAGACGGGAACTGATAAGGCAATTACTGAAGGTGCTTAATTAGTCTGGTGTCAATGATTCAAATCCAGGTAGGCACGTGATGGCACGTGCTTGTATTGGAACAAAAGGGACATCAGCGACACTAATGTAGAAGGATGAGCAAAGGCGGCAAAGATGTTTTGCAGCTCTTTGTTGCACTGAGGACCGGGCATTGCGACCAGATGGCAAGCGACTAGTGCTTGTGGGTCGCTCGATCGGTGTGGCCTGACTCAAAATATTACTGTAGTTGTTGCGGTGAAGGCTTGTGCCAGTAGGTGGTATACGTTGGGTGGGGTTTAGGATATTGAATCACATATATAGCAAGTCACATGACATTTCAATTGCTCCGGGTTTCATGGTTTGGCATCCTAAAGAACTTACAGAACCAAGACACTTCTTGGGTGCCCAGGCCCTAGTGGCCTCGTTGATTGCACTGTACCTCCAGAAGGACTGAATGTGCATAGGGTCGGTGATTTCGCTCAGGGCAAGGGGTGTTGTTTGAGTTAAGCCATCTATTTATGAAGGTCAAACGACCCATGCGTCAATGTTGCGTGTGTTGCCCGTGACAGAATATTTGAACATGCGATGGTCACAGCTCGTCCATGAGGGGATGATCGCGACGCGTCGCGAAGCGATCATCCAGGCTGTGCATTTTGTGTTTGAAATCGGTTGGACGATGGGGAAATTGAATAACACATAATTGAACTGATCAGTGTATTACGCTATGACTGATTCATGTCATGTCCTATACACTGAGAGTTGAAAGACTTTACCATTACGGCATGTCACGGCCCCCAAACAAGCCCCGATGTAGGACCACGTCGAGTGCTTCCTGGTGATACTCAACTCTGAGGCCAGGGAGTTGACATTAGCAGGCATTTTGCTTGAAAAGCACGTGATGTAGACCTGAGAGCATCCCAAAGACTTTAATTGAATCCAGTGTTCTTGGCCTAACTTCTTCCCAGATGCCCGTGCTCAGTATTTACAGTCTGTTGAAGCGTAGAACTTCTTGCACCAAAATCACCGTGTTGCAGGCTTTTGCATTCTTGCTTCGCGTTCTGCTTGGTGCAGAAAGCTTTTGTCAATGAGGTCGTGTGGCCTTCAAAGCTGGACGACAGCTTTTGCTATGCTCCTTGACACCAGCTTGGTCGTTTTGCTGGGTCGTTTTGCTCGCTCCTCCCCTGACTTTGAATATTTTTACTTTAAATAAGCGGTGGTATCAGTGTTTAAAACAATGCAAGGCTGCGTTGTATGTGGTGTGGCATACCAGACGTGCTTGAATCAGATGGTAGACATTAAGGGTTCCTCAAGTTGACAAAAGCCTGGTTTGGTGGTCAAGGACTGGCTTGGAGGAGAGGTTGAGGACTGGCTGAGGGGGATCGGATTAGTGTTTCATCTCTAGAGCCACTTCTGCCAAAGCTCAGACTCGTGGCATTGAAGTGGTACCTTCTAGACTTCTAGACTTGAAGAGACTTGTTGACCTATGCATGCTGAAGTAGCAAACATCTACTATGATTTGACATGCAGGTTACGCAGGTGGCATTTGTTTTACACTTTTGTTGCCATTCCGACCCACGTGGTCTCTGGCAGGCCACCTTTTGGTTGAGCCACCTTGCGGGAGCAAAAGCCTTCGTCGATGAACAGGCAAGGGGAAATGCCTAGGGCAGGTGGGTCCATTGTAACTATTTCTTTCGGAGCTGGAAGAACTTGTGCCTATTCTTTTGGTGCACAGATGCTAAAAGAAGAACGGAAGAGTAATACAAATGACACCTTGATGCAATCTGATGCAATGACAATATATTCAGATATTTTGTCGTGCCACACTTGTTTGGAGGCAATATTGACATCACGAACTGTCCTTGTTAGCACACATTGTACAATGCCAGTCATGCCAGACAAGTGCAAAGAAGTACTAAGTACATGGAAATAAGAGCAACGAATTGATATCATAGCAGTTGGAACCTTTGCCACAACCTGAGCAGCACAGCTTTCTAAAGATGGGTGGTGCGGACGGCATTTTCTTGAGGTCCAGTCTGCAGTCACTCGAGGAAAGGCTTTTGCTGAAGGTGCATCAAGGCTGCTTTGAGGGTTTGCTCACGATCATGGGCCATCAATAATGAATTATGTTTTCTCTATTGTAAAATATGCACATGTTATAATTGTTATAATATAGTATAATACACGTTCTAACAATATGGCAACAATGCACACAATACCTCTAGAGACCTGAGACCATCTCGGTTTCTGGTGTCAAGGCTCAGCAAATAAACAGCAATTAAACAAACATTTATATATTGTTTCTACTAGCTTCTTGTTCCTAGTAGTACGGCACTTCTTACTAGTAGCGATGCACTTGTTCCTAGTAGCTTATTGTTTTTGGTTAATATATAACCACCCCTTTGCATTGAACAACCACTTCTATCGCCCTCGCTTCGACATCCGCCGGACTCATCCCCTTGTGGGAGGGGTCGAATATTGGGGGTTTTATTTATCAGGGGTCTACATTAAGATCTCTTTTGTTCCACAAAGTCTTTTGAGTCTTTTGAGGAATGGATGTTTGTGGCAGGCACGTTTCAGCTGCACGTGTCAGGCTGCAGACGGCGGCGTTTGGACAAATTGCCTCTAACTTGGAAGCCTTTGGCATTCGCTCCTTGAAGGTTGGAAACTGGACAAACGACATGTGGCATGCCTGTCAGAAGTGGCAGCCGGTGCTTAGGCAGACCTTTAGTACACAATAGTAAACATAGCTTATATAAATAGCTTTGAAGTGAGCAAAACAAGGGGTTTTCCATAGCTGCAGCGCCAGTTTGGTGCATGCCCTATGCTAGAGTCAATCATCGCTAGAGTTGTCGATCATTGACTTGGAGATGAAGCTTCCGCTTGTCTATCAGGAGTTTCGCAGTGTTTGCACCCTGGCGAGCTCCCACTGTGCTCGGCTGAGCCGGAATCTCAGGGAAGAAGCTATAATGCAAAAAGCTCAATGTATTGATATGTATTGTGAGGTCAGACTTGCCAGTGGTCCAAGAGCTGAATAGAGAGCAAACAGAAGCATACCCTTGAGAATAATGATCATTTACCATTTGAGTACTGACGCAACTCTGTGGGGGTGGCCACAAGCAGCGCTCGTCTGAGGACAGCTGTTGCGACCTTCTGCTGTCATGCGCCCAGAAGCGTTTTGATTTCTTTATAACCAGCGAAGCCCCAGGAACAAGAAGCTACTAGGGGCTCCTGGCCTTACTACTAGGAACAAGGACGCTACTAGGGGCTCCTGGCATCGCTACTAGGAACAAGGACGCTACTGGCTTGGTGGGTCGTGGACGAGCGGATTTTTTGGGCTAGCGGATGAAGCGGAGCCAAATTTTCGGCACCGAATTGAGGGCTCCATGCGGACGCCTGCGGGCATTTTTGATGGCAAGGTGCTGGTCATCACAGGCAGGTCTGGGATGAGATTCAGGGAAGCGAGCATAAGGCATAAGCAAGGCAGGTTCAGGTGAAGAGCGAAAACAGTGGTCTATTCTTTCAAGGCCACTAACATGGAATAACCTGGAATAAGACAAGGGGGGTGGAGGTGAAAGTGTCTCCGAAGATGTTTAGCTTTTACCTTCATGTTACTTCCTTGTCAAGTTGAAGACTGCACAGATACCCATATCAAGACTGAAGACGACAGCGGGGCCAGGGGCTGCCAACTGATTCGTCCGTACGAACTCCGGCAGAATGTGCTGAACGTTTGAGTGCGAAGGTGCTGAACGACAAAGCAAATTGGAGCAGCCTTGACCTCGGGACGAAACATAGTATGCTTTGGTCTGACTTAATGATCCAAAGGCAAGGACCAGGGCCGAACATGGCAAGTCCAAAGCTTTCAATGAGTCTTTTTTGTTTTTCAAGCATACTTCTGAATGGTTAGTCACCGTTGGTCCATTTGGCCGAGGTCTGCGAGACAATATTTTCGGAACATCGTCACGCGTTGTGTCAACACTGATGACCATGAGGTCTACGTTGTACCCCAACGGCATGTTTTGGATCGACCGTGACCTCGTGCGAACTGGAGCCCCGTTCGTAGCGTCCTTGTGGTCCCCTCGGTTCGAAGGTTCGTTCGGGCCCCTGAGTTCCCATCAATTGCTGTTGAGCCCCCCCTCAACACGGCATCTAAGAGGATCCCTCAAACAGAGAGCAATTGATATGATTGATATGATTTGGGGGTTGGCAGGCAGGATTTAGCAAGTATTCTTGAGGTAGATCGACATTTGATGATGATCTATAGATATCCATACTATTAAAATGTGTGCAGGGCTGGGGAAAAATGCAATTAGCAAATAGAGGACAGGCCTGGATTGGGAGTGCTGGAAGGGGGACAGGACATGAGTGCCGGGTTTGCGAATGTTTGTGATGGTTTCACCTTCGAGGTCTGCGACCTGACGTCACCAGACGTAAAGGAGCCCATGACGTCCATATCATTCAGACCATGAAACAAGAGGACGCTACGAACGGAGCAAAGGGCATCGCTACTAGGACCAAGGACGCTACTAGGGGCTCCTGGCCCCTGGCCGTCCTACTAGGAACAAGGACGCTAGTAGGACCAACAAAGCAGAACTTCAGCAGAACCCAAGCCATGCGCTCTCATCGGAGATGCTTTACGTAGAGAGAGACGACTTTTCAGAGAGGTTCGGCGAAAGCTTACCTTCGCTTTGCTTGGAGAGCTGGCCACGTAAACCTTGGATAGAGGCTTCTCTTTAAAGATTGCTTGGGACAAACGAAATCACTCTCCCTTAGACGGGCTCAGACGAGCAGCTTCAACAACTTCTGTTACTTGCTCGTGCTAACCTGTTCTGAAGCTGATGATTTTTTTGCTTTTTCAACTGCCAAGCTGATCAAGCAAACACAGTTTTTTTGTACGCATCCAAACCTACATGAGTAAACTTAGGCGACGAAGGAAACACTCTAACTAAGGCTCGACTAGAAAGATAAGTTTTCTTCTCTTTAAGAAAAAACCTTGATCCTCCTGCTCAACGTTTTACGCTGAGTTTGAGCCGAGAAGCTTGAGCCAAAGGCTACGGATTGTCTGCTTGTAGGTGACCTTTCCCTGTCTCGTGCCCCGCTACCACCTGAAAAACCTACTACCTTAAGTAAGCAGATTACACACGTTCTAAACACAAGCAAAAGCACGTGCAACAGCTCGCAAGCAAGGCGAAAGCACTCGCACACCTTTTACGCGCACTCTCTGGGCCTTGAGCCAAAGTAAAAGTGCAAACGGCCATGAGGCACTCCTGTAACAAGCAATTTCCATGCGAGATACCGAAGGTATCGAGCTTAAAGCACTCAAATATGCACAAAACTGTTCAAGAAACATTCATACTACAAAAGCTACACAAACTTCTGTTCACAAAGCTTCCAAACATTGTACATTCCACGAGCTATGCAGAAAACACCGTACACTTTGTACACGGCTGGCAGGGCTCGCGCCCACGCTCCCATATGTGAAACTGTGTGAGGTAGCGAGTTGAATGAGTAGTTGTGACATGCATAGGTTTGAGACACTCATGTGTGCATTTCAGACATTCCCTGGACATGCCGGCAGAGCGAGCGGGCGGTCTGGTGACATGCCTAGTCTGCAACGCCTCCTTTTCCCAGTGGCCCTTCCAGACTTTCAATTGTGGCGTATTGTGGCTAGTAAGTCGTAGTCATAGCATATTATGATGATATTGTACAAAGCGCATCATTGTACAATATTGTACATATATTATAGATATTAATCAAATTTACTGCATGTACAAGTTTACGTAGTTGGATCCTAAAGCATCCAAGACTATTTTTTCCAAAAGTTTTGGTGGGCATCAGTTCATCAACCCTGCCCTGCCACATTCCGGATATATATATATATATATATGCATATCATATCAGAAGTATATAGTATTGGGGATCCAAGCCAAAAACGACTATCTACCACATTCCTGATCCTCCCACTATCTCCCCCTCAACCCATTGGCAACGCTTCTCATTCTCATTTTGATATGACTTTTGACGCTGATTGGATGCACGTGTCTTCGCATTCTACATCAATCGACACTCAAAGTCACAAACCATCAAAAACCACTGTCTGAAACCGGCTTGGTGCAGACGCAGTGATCGGTGACTCGATAGGACACGATGTTGACCGGTTGGAGGGGGTTTCTTTTTGGAGATTCAGTCCTTAATCGCATGGGTTCCCTTTTCAGTGTTTGGCTCCGATCTCCAGGCTGATCTCCCATCATGTCTCATAGGTTGCAACAAAAGTGTTGCCACTTGATGCGACGACGTGTGTCCCCTTCATCCTTCTTGCTATTCCTTTCCCGTTCTTTCCGTCCCTCATCGCGAGGCAGCCATCATCAAGTTTGAGGCCTTCCAATTTGTTTTCAACCCTTTGTTGTAAGAGTAATGTTGGACCATATTCCCAAGGTTTGTGTGGAAGGCTGTTCAGGGATTACGGCTGCTTCTAGTTTCTACCCCTGATATCCCCTGATACTGTAGGTAGTTTGCTTGTAAACCAAGACGGTTACTTCTCGATTTGTCCTTTCGCGTGCTGCAGCTTTTGCAGTCTTCCTCGAGTCCACTCGACAGTCGTCAGCAGCTTGAAACAAGTTGGCCAGGGCGCAGTGGCTTCTTCAATAGCAAGTGAGATATCTCAGTTCCTTGTTCAGGACTCATCCGCCTGGAGGGGAACTCTGAGTAAGCTTGATACAGTTGTCAACATGCACGCCTCATGGCATCTCATAGATGTTGCCGCTTCAACGTGCAAAAGCAAAGACTACTTTAACCAGTTTGAGATCAAGTATATAATATGCTTCAATTGAGGTATTACATAATATTACCATGTACTACCATAATATAAGTACTCAAAAAGTATTATTATAGGTATTACAATTTCATGTGATATGGTATTACATTGTAATACAATAATTACATACATACTTCGATGAAGGTCTGTTAAGTTTTTTGGACGCGGAGATGCCAGCCCGACTCTCCCAGGACCGGACCCGGGTCGACGGTGACAGAGATCCCAGGTGCGGCGGTCAAAGCGAAATGACATGAAACCAGGCATGAACATGTACAGTAAGCTAGTAGTAGCGTCCTTTCTCCTACTAGCGATGCCCTTTGTTACATAAATGACATTAAACACTCAGATGGCTGTGGGTCAAAACCTGAAGCACCAAATCCTGGTGGGTTGACATCCCCGAACACAGAGGAATTTGTTCATTTTCAGCGGTCAACCAAATCAACGATGACCCACAAGCAAATTGCACACGCAAACTGCCCTCTGCAAATTGCACTTAATGACAATGTGGGATTCCTCAGCTTTTCCTTGAATTTTTGGCTGGCAGTGTCTAGCTCATAATCGGCAGGCATGAGGCTGAGAGTTTGGATGCAGCACATGTTCCAATCTATGTAGTTCCAGGAGACTTGGCCAAGCTTGGTGGGGCGTGTGTGCGTGTTCAACCTGCAAGCACTCAAGCAGATCCTTTCTTATCAGGGAATGCTGCTTGGGGTTGTGCAGGACTTCCATGTGCTTTTTGTTCACTTGAAGGCTTTGAGTTGAGCAACCGTGAACGTTACACACGGCTCATGAGAACACTAGCGCACGCCCTTTCAATACTTATTTTCTGGTGCTTCTTGCAATGTTGACTATTTGGGCATTGGAAACCAATTAGAAGAGCACCACTTGTCAATTTCTGCCTCAAAGCCAGAAAAGTAGCACCTCCAATCTGTGAGGATGTGATGGAGGCGTTTTGGGCGAGCTGGCATCATTGGTTGACATCCTGAATGCCGACACCGGTGGGGTGCTGGTTTTCGACCAAGAGGTGCCAAGCCGCAGACCGCCCCCAGATATCAGATGTTCAATTCAGCTGTGGAATTCCACTATGAAAAATTACATCCGGATTGTTTATATAAATGCGACATGCATAAGTGGCTTTTGGTGGAGGTCATATCATGAGGTCAAAGCCTCAAATGCCAACAAAGCAACTGTTGATCCTGGAACTGCCTTGCAGCGAGGCCAGAAGATGTTCATCCTTGGCAGATCTGGCGGCACTCTTTTTGCAGCGAATCTCTGATGACCAAGCATGGATCTCAGAGGCGGGGTGTTTGGGAAGATACCACGTGTTGCTTTGAGGCGAAGTGTGTTTTTCTTTATGGAAGATACCGCGAATGAAGAAGCAAGGCTCAAACAAAGCTTCTTGATGCAAGATCTAGCCATGGTGTTATTCAAAGTTGGGCTTGGACATGCCAATTACATCTAATTACCCCTGGATCCCTGGATCCTTCTTTTGACAGCTCACAAGATCATTCTACCTTGTTCACTTTGGAGAGGTCGCTTATAACAGCTACCAGCAAATGCAGCATATCCGCAGGGCATTGGCATCCTTCCTGTTGTTTTGCTATTCATAAACATATGGAACCATGAATACGACTGGTCCACTGAGAATGACGACTAGCTTGATCCTTTCAGCCAGGAACACGTTGCGTTGGCATAGATGCTCTCTCAATGACCATTGGTGTACCTCGAATTACATAGGACCAAAATCAGTATTGCAAGATGCTTCAAGAGGTTACGCTTAAGCACCTAAGCTCCCCATTGATCTCTGGCTGGATGTTTCTTGCTTGAGTGATGCTTTGTTGGCGCAGGGAGACTTGCCTGATGCGAGCCTTTGCAAGGTGCGAGTGAGATGAACCTCGGGTTTCGGGACGAACCTCAAAAAAACATCCATCAGGTGTATAGACGATCTCTCAGGTGTGCATCTCTATGCAACTCTTGGTGTGAGCACATTGTTTCAATTCAGAGTTCGCGGAGTGAAACACTCAGGTGCTTTTGCTGGGGCATAGCAGCGGTGCACCCTTAGCCTACGACGCTTGGCCTACTACGAAGTCCGGCAAAAGAGGTGGACTTGGCCCGCTGAACGAATGGGGGCCTAAATGAATAGAGGCTCAGACCCACCATCCATTTTCCTGTTTTTTCATGTTTTTTCCACGAAAACTTCAGAGCGCCTTTGGTGGCGTTTGGATGTGTTTGGGAAAGGCCGGGAGTGGTTTTGACCGGAACGTTCGCTTTTTGAGAGCAACCGAAAAACGACACAACATTCAGTACTTGTGTGTCGAATTTAGCGTGCGTTGTTCTTTTGGAGAACGACGCATCCCCTTGTCTTCTTGTTTTTTCTCCTGAGGAAATGGCTATGCAACTCCAAGACTGTGGGGTCGATGTGCGATTGGTCATCGTCCAAGGCATGATCGATGATAGTGTTCCTTGAGAACATGATCGATGAGAACATGACCGTTTGCAAGATTGGGTCAAGCCAATCGGTTATCACATGTTATCACCTGATTTGGGAAAGAAGGGTTTCTATATTGTTTCTCATCACCTGGCACAATGCCAACAGATGTTATACAGGTTCTCGGCTCTTTAATGTCTCCTTATTTTACTTGTCTTTATACTTCAACGCTTTGTTCCATGCCATGCATGATTCTACGGAGTGACAGGCGAAGTGTCCCGTGCTGGTCCAAGCAGCACTGGCTTAAGCGGCTGCTGGTTGGGCAGCACTTGTGAGGCTCAGCCGTCACTAATAGATCTGAAAAGTCATACGTAATATGTGAGATTGACACCAGGCAAATCCGGACGAATAGCAGTAGTTACTTCTGATTTGTGGGGCCACCAAGTCATACCATGTTTGGTTTTGAATCGGTGAAACGCTTTCTTGACCCTCGGGCACTGCCCAGCTGATTGGGCTAAAGTGATGCGAGGCCATCCTCCTCCTTGCAAACCGGGTTGGTGAAAGAGAATTTGCACTCAAAGAAGCAGAAGCCATGGCCAAAGCACGCCAAAATGGCCAGAAGCTTTCACGAGGACGCAGCTTGCAACTGAAAATGTGGTGGTCACATTCCAATCCTTGTTGGTTACACTTACAATATCTTACAATGTACCATCCTGTTTACAGTTTTTGTAACAAAGTTGAGTAGATGTGGCAGTAGTGGCGGTGGCAAATTGTCTTTCCACGACCTGTGCTATGTCCTCCTGGTCCACCCATAGCTTTTTCAGCCGGCGAGACTGGATAAATCCGTCAAAACTGGGCCGAAGGAATTAGAACTTCTCACACCTCCATACCTCCAGTTTCCTTTGCATTGTGTTTGGCCCGGTTCAAGTCACAAAGTTCAGTGGATGGTTGGGGAAGAAGTACGCCACTCAATTCATTGAGAATAGATTGAGATCATATATACAGTTTATATACTATACTATAATATGAAAGTGTGAGACACAGGTATGTCAGATTGGCCGTCACCTTGAGG